GTCAAAAAGCCTGTGTTTTTAGGGTTATTAAAAAAGTTTGTGTACTCAGACCAGTAATATTTGGGGTCACAAGTTTTTGCTATGGATATTTTGTGGGTCAGAAGATAAAAGTTTGGGAACCACTGCTCTAGTTTACATTTTGAAGTTATTGTTGAGTCCCAATGAAGCATGTAATAGGCCCATCAAAATGTAGTTAAATTATTGATGATCCCGCAGTGTTTTTTTTTATTTCAGAACATGCGCTCATGAATTATTGTTTTAGTTGGCTAAAATCTATGTTTGACAATGTAACCACTTTAGAATTTATTTGTCACCTAAATAATAATGTGGTGGMTGAAAGTTATTTTCAGCCTTATCTCAGTGGCTTGAGGATTTCTTTTACTTTTTTGTCAAATGTTGTGACACTTTTTTGTGTTTTTCATATTAAGGAAATCACAGGGCACTACTTATAATTGTTAGTATTATACGTAGTAAGTGCYGAATGCACCAGATACGAGCCTGGCAGCCTACATCCCAGCTGTGTTGCACGTTGGGGTTYATCTGTGGCTGCATGGCTTCAAACGGTGCAAGAACAACGTCAGCCCTGAGATTTAAGCCCATCAGTGGAGAGCCACACTGTGGGGTTATAACTCAGAGGCACAGATGCTTTAAACCGACCTGTTCATAAGTAGTTCTAATGAGGGATTCACTCAGTTTGCTTCTCTTTGTAGAAACTCATTATAGATGAAAAGAAGTATTATCTGTTTGGGAGGAACCCTGACTGGTGTGACTTCACCATTGACCATCAGTCATGCTCTCGAGTTCATGCGGCGCTAGTCTACCACAAACATCTAAAAAGGGTCTTCCTTATAGACCTTAACAGCAGTAAGAGATCACACACACACCCACACATTCACATTCATTTATTGTTCTGAGGTTTAAAAGGTTTGTTGAGTGAAGAGAAACGTTTCTTGCCAAGTATAAATTTCAGTGTTCACAAAACAAAAACTATTATTAAAGCTAGTTRTCTATGGTGTGAACTGTCTTAAAGGTGACTCGCTACTTGTTTTTTGCTTGTAAGCAGCAAATTGTTGGTACTTTCCTGTCATATTTTCAAATTTTGAATTTATCCTTTCGATAACTTGAACATGCATCAACATTAATCAGCTTTCTGTATAATTTAATTTTTTTCCCTGGTGCTCATTTCTTAGTTGGTTACACCRGGTGTTTATCATGGCAATAGCCATCTTCTGGTTTTTGTTCATCTCATATCTGATGTACTTTGTATTTAAAAAGGCACCTAATGGCTTCAAAAATGTTTAAACCAAAAGTTAGATGTCCATTTGCCACATTTATAGAAAGAAGCTTCAGAAATAAACACATAGCCGATCAAAATTAATGATTACACGTTGTATGATAGGTTAATTARTTTGGAGCAAAAGGTGCTTCTATTATACATAAGAAGCAGATTTTAATGTGTCAAAATAAAGTGATGTGTAATACATTATGGAGTGTAATGTGAAATTATCAGTAACAAWGTATTTAATAATTAGGCTTGTTTACAAGATCATCTTGACATATTGCTCTTTAAATATTACATCTTTTATTCTTGTTTCTTATGTTTAAAAACTTTTTTAAATGATCACCGTTTTAGCACATGGTACCTTCCTTGGACACATCCGCCTTGAGCCTCACAAGCCCCAGCAGGTCCCCATAGACTCAACAATATCTTTTGGGGCTTCAACGCGCACCTACACCATCAGAGAGAAACCACAAACCCAAGGCACTGCTGGCACAGGAGACAGTAAGACAGGAGAGGAGGAGGAGCTTAAAAGACTGATCGGGCTTCCAGAGGAAGAGATGGAGCTTGAGGTACATTTGTTATTATTTTTTAAACAAATTTGACAAAAATGTATATTTTTATGTTTCAATGTGTTTTTTGAGTTTTGGTCTCTTCTGAACTGAAGATGTTGATTTTACTTTTAAAATGTTTCTTTTAAAGAAGCAGAAATTTCACAAACACCCTCTTTTAATGATCTGTTTATTGCAATTAGGCAATTTTTTTTATACGTCTTCACGTTTTTCATGAGACGTAGCTTTGAGGGGGAAAAAAGACAAATCTATTATCAGTGTGCTGATATTTTGCTTTTTTGTTACTTTTGTGTGCTGCCAGAACCTAACAGAGTTCAACACTGCTCACAACAAGCGCATCTCCCTCYTGACCATCGAAGAAGGCAACCTGGAAATCCAGAGGCCCAAAAGAAAACGCAGGAACTCCAAAGTTACTTTCAGTGAAGARGACTCCATCATTAATCCAGGTACCCGTCAGAATAAAACTACCTCTGAAGCAACCAAATTTACTAAAATAATTCTGTATCTACATTTTAAAAATCATAATAAAGCATGTTTATGGCAGATTATCAGTTGGTTTTTCTTTTAGTTATTTTTTTGTGCAAACTATTTTTAGATTCTTAACTCAAGATTTAGTTTGAATTTGACGTACTTTAATGTAATTTACAATTTGAATAATTATGTTAAACACATCAGTTGCTATTATTTTAAAGAATTTTAAGTTAAAGGCATCTAAAGTGCGGTAAAAAGCAAAGATCAAATGTGAATTTCTAATATTAGAAGAAATTCAGAAAAGTGTGACTGTGGTCTTTTCTTAAACCTTCACAGAGGACATAGATCCCTCAGTTGGGCGTTTTAGAAACATGGTGCAAACCGCTGTCATCCCCATCAAGGTAAATCTTGTTTTACGTTTATGATGATCCATTTCACCTGACAGATTGTGCTACAATGACGTTTTTGTTGAGTCACTTGAAACCATTAATCTTCCACTCCTTTTCATAGAAACGAAGGTCAGACAGTCAAAACACTTTAGGTTTTGAGGATCTGACCTCTAAGCGAATCCACGGCTACAGCCTAAGTGCTGGTCTGTATGGTGACCTGCCTCCCACCAGCCACGAGAACAAGCCCACAGGAGCTCCAGGGGGCGCTGCTATGCAGGGAGGGCTTCCTTTGCCCTTCCCTAACCCTGCACCAGAGGTGGACTTGGCCCCAGAGGCTCCGCAGCCCCCTGTCACCCTCAACCCAACACCTGTAACAGCCCCCTACATGCCAGAGACGCACAACGAGCCACGCAAAAAGAAGTACGCCAAAGAAGCTTGGCCGGGGAAGAAACCCACACCCTCACTTCTCATCTAGCCAGTTCGATAACACCGCTGACTCTCAGGTTCCCAGCAGACACATCAGGGACTGTGACCTAGCAGAGGAGGAACCTTAAGATTTTTTCTTTTTTACATTTGTTACGCTGTTTTCATTCTAACTAAAAAAAAATGTAACCCCCGCCCCCCCATTCCTCATTTTCTCTGTTGTGTGTCACAAGATTTAATATACATCATTAAGTCAACTGTTGATAATTTGCTGATAAATATCATAACCTTGTTTACTGCAAACAAAACTGAGCTAAAGTCATAACACTTGTACTTTTTAGCGAGAACGACTACATGGATTTGGTTTTGTGATGGACTTATAGRCTTGATGTTGTTTTTTTCTTTTTTACATAAACATGTTTAAACAGTTTGATTCCTTCAGAATGTTTATAAAGATGTTAAGACAAATTGTAAAATGTATTTTTATTTACAAATTGTAAAGTAATAATAGTCCCAAGAGTTAAAGTGTGAAAAAGTTGAAAATGTGAGGCTGTGTTATTTTTATTTTTATTTTTTTCTCCATGTCAAAGACATTGATTTAATGATAAATGTTTTAATTCAGTTTAATAAGTCAATATCAATAGAGGGTTCTGTGTATTCTCTGCACAAGCCACTAGATGGCAGCTTTAGCAAAAAGATCAATTTTTCATGAGGTTTGACTGAAAGCTTGTGGGTACCAGTGAGTGTGGCCTGATGCACAAACCTCAACCAGAATCTAAATGTGGCATCTAATGAAAGGAATGGTGAAAACATTTTTATAAATTAGTTTTTTTAATGTTTTTGTGTAACCATTTACCCTGTCTGAATTACATTTTTAGTATATTACATTTAAACGTATTTTCCCAGCTCAAATATACTGTAATAACAAGCATTTTACAGTTTCTGGCATTTTGAGCTGCCGAATAGTAACAAAATGATTCAAATGTGTTCTGTTCTAATGGTTATTTACATGCTACAGTATACAGTTTTGTTTTAACAGCTGCTTTTCTTACCAACATGAGATGTAGGAATGATCTATTAGCAGCCAAATAAAAATAGCTCATTGTGTTAAACATGTCACCTAGTTATAGTTTATAATAAGTTTAGTGTTCACAAAGTTCAAAGATTCTATAGAATTATGTACTAAATTGATAAAGTGCATTTAAGACCCTCAGGCAAGCAGTCATAACATTTCTGCCATTTTAAAAAGATTTAGGAGGTTAGTAAAAATAAAACTAAAGGGCTAGTGGTTTTGATAGAAAGTGGCAAAGCGGCTGGATGGGTTTGAGTTGGACTTAAAGTCATATAATCTGCTGTCATTTTAAGTATTTGCCATATATATATATANTATATATATATATATATTCAGCCATTTGAATACACCCAAAGGTTGGAAATCAGCTGCAAAACTTGACGTTTCATTTTTACAAACTGTGCTTGTGACTTTGTCCCTTTTAACGTGTGGATTTTGTAATGAGACTGTAAATTAAAAAAGGAATTACTTTTACCTTATTAGCCTTTCTGGTTCTTCTGTTGGCAGTTTGTGCACAAATCATTACGTTAGTAACACCTGTGGGAAGTGTTTCTGTGATCTTTTTCAGTCACTGTTGGATAGAAGTAACATAAATTTTATTACACACCTTAATTTTGACTTTTTATGAAACTGAAGCATGTCAACATGACCTCAACATAAAAGTTGTTCAAAATGTGTGGCAACTGTAAGCCCCAACTTGGAATTTGTCAAATGATTTTTCCGAACAAGTATTTTATTATTATTATTCATTTATTTATTATTATTTTTTTGTGATTTGAGATAAAGTCTGGCTGATTATCTGGATATGCCAGTTRCAGTTAGAAATAATATCAAAACAATATGCAGTTTTGAGATTATGAATAACTTGTTACAGCAAAGGTACATCATTTTGCAGTGAGTACAGAAACTGACACAAAAAATCCATTTTTGACTATATTAAAAATGTGGCAAAAATGAGAAGCAATCATTTTTAAACATATTCCCAGAAATCGTCTCTGTCAGTAGCCAAGGAGGGGTCCTGACCCCAAATTTGGAAACCTTTTTATAACAGCCATGAATCAAAGGTGATCTAATCAAAGTAAGATTGTATTGCCTATGTACCATTTTTTTAACTATCATCTTCTGTTAAACATTCACATTTTTAAGATAGCATTTTGACCTTGTTTAGAAGAGTTAACGTGACACATGACAAATCCCTTTTGTGACAAGAAAACAAGAATTAGACACTGTTTAAAAAGGGACTAGAAAAGCCCAGTTTACAAAGCATGTATGATGAAGTGGAACAAAACTTCTGTTACTCTGTAACAGCAGCTCAGTTAAAGCATCAACCAAGTGAAATAGTGCAAGAAAAACCTCTACACCAAATTATTGGCTTTTCTCTTATCTCATTAGTATAAACATCTATTTTCACATCTATTCACATTTGGAAAAAAAGCTTTTTCCCCCTATCCTAACTTCATCAAAATGATGAGACTATTTTAACCAGAATAAAATATAATTATGAATGCAGTCATGAAAATTACTTGAAAAAAATATTAAACAGATACATTTCAACTGAACTAAATAGTTTTAAAGTTATTACTCAATAATGAATTGTGATTAATTTAATTTTCAGTGGGCAATAATTTGGGGCTTTAAGCTGGCCACCATTTGTGCTGTTTGTGTAAAAAAAAAAAAAAAGGCCACTGATGATGAAGAAGCTAAGATACTAATATTCAGATAATCAGTTTTGCTTTCTACTTAAGTGGCAAAAAAAGTCATGCTATTTATTTTATTTTGTTTATTCTTTTATTTCATTCATAAAATCAACTAAATGTCCATTAAAAAAGACAAATCAATTATTGAATGAAAAGGGTGCAGAAAGAAGAAAATTATTTTGTATCTGCCCATTATTAAAAAAAAAACAATTAAAACAAACAACTAGTTAAACTCTAATGTTATTACTTGAATAAAAATAAACTGTTTAAAAGTTTTGCTTGAAAAGGGAATCGTGATGCTCCTGGAACTGTTTACATCCTGTATCATTTTACATATACTTTTACAGGTGCGAAAGTCAGTCTTGCTTGACACCAACCTGAAAGAGTCACATATGGATAAACTTTGAACATTTAACTCATAACAAGCTTTCCAGG